TTTTTTTTTTTTTTTTTTTTTTTTTTTTTTTTTTTTTTTTTTTTTAGCTGCACAAACCAGGAGAGCCTGGCTGGGCTGAGCTGCACTATGGTGCTGCAGCGGCTCCTGTGCCAGTGGGGAGCCGGACACACCGCTGCCATGCAAACACGGCCCCACCGGGCTGGCATGTGCTTCTTGCAGGCAGCAGCAGGTTGTTATAACAACAAGAGAGCCACAGACAGCAGTCTTAATTTCAGAACAAAGGCAGGAAAGAAAGGGGGGTGGCCAGGCTGTCTCACAGTCACCCTCAGCCACACCAGTGCTTCCCTGGGCTTGCCCGTCCTGCCAGAAGCCGTCCAAATTCCCGTGCAGCCGCCCAGCGACACACCGGGGGCAGGGAGCGCAGACTCAGGGGTTCAGGCAACTGGGAACCCCTCTAAGAAATTACTAATTATGGTTTGGAGGAAGGAAAAAAAAGTTCACTTCAACTGGCATGTGATTTTTGGCCCTCACAGAATCACTCACAGAGTGGCAAGGGTCCCTCAGCTCACCTCAGCACGTTACTTGGTGGGAACACTGGAAACACTGAGGCAGTTTCCCAGGAGCTGGCCCATCCCCGTCCCCATCCCACAGCAGTGCACAGCCGCTTCCTCCCATGCCCGTGCCCAGAAGGGCCCATCCCTGCAGCGCGCCAGGTCCCGGCCACAGCCATCGCCACGCGGCTCTGGGCTCTGCTCCCAAGCCCGAGCAGGGGCTCCCAGAGGTGAGAGCAGCTCAGCGCAGCAGCAGCCTACCTTAGCGGCCCCGATCTGCTCCTTGCGAAACTTCTCCAGCGGCGTGATCAGCACCTCGCTGGCGTTCTCGATCTACGGGCAAAGACGGGCACAAGTCACCCACTGCCTCCATGCTCCCGCCCCAGCCCTTCTGACCAGCTCAGCTCCAGACACCCAAGCTGCTCAACAGCCTTTTTCCAACACAGAGAGCCTCCTGCAGCCCACAGAGAGCCTCCTGCAGCCCACAGAGAGCCTCCTGCAGCCCACAGAGAGCCACACGCTTCACCCTCTCCAGCTCTGCGCTGGCTGAGGACCCAGGGGAGGCCGAGGGGCTTGTACCAAACCTGCTCCTCACCCCAGCAAGCCCTACCAGCACTGGCCATTTTCCAACAGCAGGACACCATTACTGATGCTCGTCGAGCGTGCCCCCCACCATGTTCACCCTCCCTCTGCTCTCCCCTGCTGCTCTGCCCTGGGCAAGGGAAGGGGCACCTGGGCTCGCAGCCACTGCATGCCATGGTGGCCCCCGTGCCACACCACCCACCGTGCGCAGAGCCACCGCCGGCAGCAGTGGTGCCACCACCCCCCAGCCAGCGGATGGGGCCATACCATGCGCATCCGCTCGTCCTCCAGGTTCCGCAGCACCGTGGCGAACTCCTGCAGAGACTTGGCTGGAAGGGAAACACCCGCACAGTCAGCATTTAACAACATTTAATTTTCTTTTTAATTAAGAGACAGACTTGAATGGGGCGGGGGGAGTGGTTGATTGGTTGTGTTTTGGGGGGCTTGGGGGTTTTTTATCATCTTTAGTCTCTCCTCAGAAAGGCTTCCAGTTGCCTATGAAAGGAACTGGTGGCAGAGCATCCCCAGCACCGTGTTCCCACCTCCAGAGAGAAACACCGCACCTCCATCCCAAACCTGTCCTACCCGCAGCTGGTTGCTGATCAGCCCCACGGCTCAGCACTGGCCACAGCCGCGCTCGGTGCACGAGTGGCAGCTCACCAGCACGTGCATCGCAGCAAGGGGACTTGGGTGAGAAAGCTATTTTTGCTGAGAGACTGGGCACAAAATAAATAAGCGAAGTTAAATCAGGGCTAAAGCTCATTTGCTCTCCTGGCTCCAGATGATGTGCGCAATAAGCTCTAAAAGTTCAGCTGGGGCAGAAGCGGGATAACATGGAGCAAAGGGCTGAAGCTGTTACCCTGCACCACAAGAAGCTCCGTGGTGGAGCCGGGCTCGGCTGGGGGCGCGCTGCCAGGCTCGGCTCGGCGCTGCTGGCCGCCCTCGGTACAGTGGGTGCCTGCCAGGTCCTTTGCTCCTGCAGCCAGCAGCGAGGCTGCTGCTCCTCTCCTTCAGTTCACAGCCCCTTGCGATGTATTTCACCATGGCCACATCTCCAGATCCCTACTCTCTGGTGGGAAAGGGATGGATAATCTAGATGGTTTCGGATACGAGCAATCTTCTTCCTTTCCTATCTGGCACGGCTAGATTTAGGCCAAGCAGCTACAATTCATTTCCTTAGGAAGCCTTTGCTGATGTTGAACTATGAAATATGACATTTCCAGAGGGCAGGAAAGCACTCAGACAAATTTCTGGGTGCCCTGGCATCCTCGTGTGTGTTTCTCCCCCGTGCCCTGCTCAGCTCAGGAGTTGGGAGCGTGGCTTCAGGGCTGCCCACAGCACCAGCGCCCAGGACTCACCTATGCAGATCTCATCATCCGTTTCAGCGTCGCCGATGCAGCGAAATTTAAACTCGTTGAGGGAGTCCGCAAACTTGCGCTTGGCCGCCGACAGGTCTGCCGAGAGGGAAGGGAGAGGGGAAACACAGATGTTAGAAAAGGAAAAAGCCCTCCAGCAGCACGACACAGATGGACGCGTAATCCCAGCCAGCCAGCCCCCAGGGAGAGAGACCCCCCCAGGGGTCTGACAGGGCCCCCCCAGTGCCAGGGAACCCCCAAGAGCACTGACCTGCTCCTGCACCCACCCCAGGGACAGGGCTCTGCAGGGTCCTGGCCAGCACCCACCCCAAAATACACTACAGGAGATGAAACCCCAAAATACCGTGAGAACCATGTGGGAGCTCAAGCCCAGTGCTGCGGGGCAGTGGCAAACGGTGCTGCAGGGCGGCACGGCCCCCCGAGAGACGGCACCTCTGCACAGGCTCCCCGTCCTGCCCAACGAAGGCACCACGCATGGGCGATAATGCAGAGGTTTATTGCTTTCCAAGCTGCAGATTCTCTCCGAGATCGGAATCCTATTAAGTTCTTACTCGCAGTGACCTGAGCGGATCCAGGATTGGCTTTTCGAACCGGCCCCGTAACCCTGCACACGCAGACACGCACGCTCTCGGGCGCTGCAAGGCCACCAGCGCGGAGAGGAACTTGTATTTGAGCAACGCGAGAGACTGCAGGCATGCAGACGGCATTAGGGAGACGTAATGCTAATTCCCCTGTGCATTTCTTCACTCAAAGTCTAAAAATTCAGCATTTTTCTTTTCCAAGCACAGGTGGAAAACACACGTGTGCACACAAAAGCCATTTCCTCCTCTCAGACGCCAACAGTGAAAAGATAACTGCAAAAGAATACAAGCATTTTGCTTTCCCCATGGGATAAGAGAGTGTAAAGCTTTCCCCAAGCATTAAAGCTGCTCTCCAAGTGTCTCTGCTGAGAGTCCTGGGGCTAATCCTGCCCACAGCTCAGTCCCGGCTGAGTTCCCTGGCGCAGCTCACCCCACTCCTCTCCACGTACCCGTCCTGCTGCCCGCCGTGGCGGAGCAGCCCCCCTTCCCTCGCCGGGGCAGCCGGAGGGCTCGGGGACTTTAACCCAGTCCCTGGAGCCGGGCAGCCTCCTGCCTCCGCTGGAATAATAACGAAGATGACGTTAATGACTTAAGGAGCCATTTCCTCTCCTCCAGCTCCACACTGACCGTCAGCCACCAGCCACACTCTCCCCGCCGCCCACCGTGGCCTCACCAATAACCCTGCCCACATTACTCACGGCATGTCCCCAGCCAAACCAGACCCGCCGGGACATCCCCCGTGCCCCCCGCCGGCTGGGCAGGACCCTGAGGGATGCTGCCCCAGCGCAGAGGCAAACCCCTGGGAGGGAGACCAGTTCCCCTGGCCCTAGGCAGGGTCACCAGCGTTGGAGCAGCACCCCTTGGCAGGGCCAGCCCTCCGCGCTGAGAGCGAGGAGGAGGTTGGGGCTCTGCAGCCACCAGGCACGAGCCAGGGCGAAGCCAAGAAGCCTTCGGAGCTGGCGGCACCCCGCAGCAATGGCCCACAGTGCTTATAAATAGGGGAGGGAGAGGCAGGGAGAGAAGGAGATAATTCCCAGTGCAACAGCGATAAAGGAGGATCGTTGGCAGCCGCTTGCTGAATGACACGGCCAAGTCGCAGGGGCAAAGCAGATGCTAAAATTAAAGGCAGGGTCAGCCAGAAAAGGAGGGGCACACCGCACCTCTGGGGACAAGCAATGAGCCAGAAGGTCCCCATCGTCCTCCCTGTGCCACCATTAGACCCGCCAGCACTCCTAGCATCCCGTTCTCCTAAAAGCTTGAATCTCTACGGCTACATTTTGGGGAAAAACCCCTCCAGTGGAAGCAGCCAAAGCTCCCGGCTGCACTGCAGGCAGGGGTGTAGGGGGAAAGCAGGGTGGCCCCACCACGGGCCAGCTCAGCTCCGGAGGCTTCTTCTTCCCCAGGGCTGTGGACGAGCAAACCCAAAATCCTACAGGAGCTCGACAGAAACTTCTGCTTCTTGTGCACCAGTAAAACCACACGGACCCCGCACATGAGTCACAGCCAGGGCGCGCCAAGGGCTGTGAAAGTTTTGCTTGCAAGTTTGCTGGTTGGCTTCATCAGTCAACCCCAACATCAGGGAAAACCACCACAAAGCCAGAAAAATCCTTCTGCCTGAGCAATGCAACCAACTCGTTGACAGGACAGGAGCCGGGCCAGCCGGGATGGATCCAGGGCCACACCAGTGCTGGCAGAAGCAGTAAGGCTGCAAGATGCCTGGGGGGACAGTGCAGTGGCAGCCAGCCCAGGGGTGCACAGACCAGGGCAGCCTGCAGCCGGTGAATCTTTCCATGCCCATCGTGCCCCGTGGCTGCAGCGCAGAGCACTGAAGATCTCCAGGGGCAGCAAGGAAAGTGCGATGCCTTTCTGAAGATCTCCAGGGGCAGAGGCATCCCAGGAGGTGAAAACAGCCCTGTGCAGGCTGCTGAAACACCGGGAGAGTGGGAGGGCAAGCGGTGGCCCCTGCCACCCCAGGCTGCAGCCACCTCGGGAGGGTCCAGGGTGCAGCCTCAGCCCCAGGGCTGCCACCGTGGAGCCACGTGCCTGCTTGCACCCAGGAGCCAAGACAAAACCACACGAGAAAACACCGGCCAAGCAGCAGCGTCCCACCTGCAAGGTAACGCCTGCGCATGTGCCAACGCAGCCAGGGCTCCTCTGCCTGGCACAGGGCAGCACACGGCGAGTGTGCCTGAGTTTCAGTCTCCAGCCAGTACACACTGTGTAAGGTAACAGCCACACATCCAGCCCAAAGCCCCGCCGTGCCCACCTGCCCTCCCCTCTGCTCCAGCAAGGGACCATCCTGCCCCACAGTCCCCCTGACCATGACTCCTTCTTTTCCCCTCTGCAGGCTGACCGTCCCGCAGCGGGTTGCTAATGCAGTCCTGCTCATCATCGTCACCCCCCATGGCTCCCCATTCCCACCCCCGGGCTGGCAGGGACAGGACCATTGCTTCGGGGAAGTCCACTTGACAGAACACCAGCACATGCACTGCATACCAGAGGTCCAGCTGCGTAGCTACAGCAACCAATAATCAAAATAAAATGCCCTTTTAAAAGTGATGTATCAGCGCGTTACTGCGATGCAGGGTTACCCGCTCAACCATTTAGGGGAGCAGCCCAGCAACACTCCCCTTCCCGAGCACTTTCCCTTCCTGGAAAAGGGTTTATGACCTGAACTGGGTGTAATGGAGAAGAAAACTGCAGTGACATGGAAGGAGACGTGACCTGGCAGAGGGCAGAGGTACCAGCAGGGGCCTGTCCCAGCAAGGAGGGGGTTGGAGCTGAATGCCATAGTCAAATCCTGTCTTTCCCAGCAGCAGGTCAGAGGGTGGCGATCACAGATGGAAGGAGGTGGCCAGCTCCCACAGACCTGCACTGCTCATCCCCAAAGCACCCGGCATCGCTCGTCCGTCAGCACGGCAAGGCTGAGGGGCACGCTTTGCCTTTTTTGTGAACAGTCCCCTAGGAAATGTTCAGGAGCCAATTTTGGCCATGCTTCTCAAACGCCACCACTCTGCCCCCACGGCAGGGGACAGAGCATCTCACCAAGCCCTGCCCTGCCGGCACCGGGTCCTGCCCCGGCACACACCTCGGAGGCAGCCGCTTGCAAAGCCAGAGCAGGGGCATGGTGACATGCCACCAAACACCACAGCACCCGTCCCTCGCACAGCGGAGACACGCTTGGCACCCTCACCACCCACTGCATCCCTCACCATCCACCGCACCCCTCGCCACTCACCATACCCCTTGCCACCCACCGCACCCCTCGCCACCCACCGCAGGAAGAGCGCTGAAGTGGGATGGCTCCCAACAAGGCAGAGGGCAGCTGCCTGTGCCTGGAAGCAGCCCCAATTAACCCCATTGCCCATCCCTCCTGCCCAGCTCAGGGGTCAGCCTGCTTCTTCCCTGGCACCCCAGAGCTCTCCCCCTCCCTTTGCTAGCCAGGGAGCAGGGGGATTGCCGGCTGAGGTCCCGGCCCAGCCTCACACCACCAGGGCTCTCCCTCCAAACCCAGCTGAAGCCAACATTACTCCAGCCCACAGCAGCCCTGCCACAAGGGAGCACCTCGCACCCCCACTGCCCGTCCTCCCGGATCACCCCAGCATCCCTCCTCCTCCTCAGCTACTGAGTTAAACCTTCTTTCTGGGAAGTGGCTGTTGTTACTGCAATGAGACTGAAGTGGTTTGGTCTTTGCTTTTTTTTGGGTTTTTTTGGTTTTTTTTTTAACATAAAAAGCCCCTTCCAAAGGAATTTGGAACTATTGAAAAAGGCTGTTTATAGAAGGAAGACATCGTGATTTCACAACCCTTCTCCACGCATACAGCACCCCGGGAGCAAGAAGGATGACCCCGTCCCAGCCAGGTCCACAGAGGGGCAGCCCCCGCGCAGGTCTCCCCCCCAGAGCACGTCTTCATGAGACGGGGCAGCTCTGTTCCCAGGGCGCAGGCATCAGATCCAACGCATCCTGGGTTGGGGTGACTCAGTACGAGGTGCTTCCCCCACTTCGGGGAAGTCACTGGCACCGCAGCCCTGCTGCGAGCCGCTCCCTGCCCGTCGCCGGCTCCCGGCTCTTTCCCCAGCTTTATTCCTCAGCTGCGCATCTCGCCTCTGTGCAACACCACTGTCTCTGCTCAGTGTTTAATACATTTCCAGGCTTTCCCAAAAAGCCCACAGAGGTAAGGCGCACTGAAAACCTGGGCAGACATAGGGCAGGAAGCTTTTCCCTTGAATAAAATTTTATAAGGCGCTGAGAAGAGATTGCAACCCCTCCACCTGCATGCTTTTCCTAGCTGGAATGGATGGCTGGGAAATGTGACCACAGGACACAGAGGGGAACCATAACGCATCAAAACAAGACATCAAGAAGACAAATGTCCCCTCCTGCCCGGTCTCGCTGCCCACTGGGGAGCACGATCCCCCAACCTGGCAGTCTGCGTTTTAAAGATCAGCTCAGCCAGGGAGAAAGTTATACTGCTGGCTCAGAAAGCAGGGGCTCTC